TTTCATTTGATAAACACGTTTAGATTGAATGGTAATTTATAATCAGTCACAAGAACGTCGAATCTGAATCACTTGAAAAAAACACGGGGGTGCTTAACTTTTTTCCAGGTGTATATATATTCGAAACAAGTTAAACGTATGTACAACAAATTCTTCAACACTATAGATATTATAGGCATATCATAAACACTATATATGTAGTACTCTCCTTCTTGTCAAAAGTCCACTTAGGCCTATTCAATTACTTTAGAATTTCTGTTGACAAGCTGAACTATCTTCTATATATTACTATCACATTAGTATTCTTTGTATGATTCACTTACAATTGTGGCACGAGTTACCGTAATCGTTTGGTCTTCTTTCTTCTAAATATCTTCTGTTCCTTTTGTCAATGTGTACCCAGGCTGATTCAATTACATTAGCGCCACGCTTTGACAGAATCATTATTCTTATCTCCTTTTCTACTGTTAGTCTTACTCTAATATATTAAATGCTAGGCCTATCACTTCTATGGTAGTTAACTTCATGCCAAACTTTTCCTTGCCTGTAAGTTTACTCTCTTCTGCTATTGTCTGTCTGCTGCTTCTGCTTGTCTCAAACTATTTATATGTCTATCACTTAATCATCTGTCCACCTTCTAGAAATCTCTATATTCTTGACGTCAATGTATTTCATGCGACGTTCGATAGTCTCAACATCAACGAATTATAAACACAATTACAACTAATTGTCTGCTTTTAACTCTTATTATAACAAAAATTAAACAATAATAAAATATTCAGTCACAAAAATAAATTACTCAATAATATCTACACTAAAAAAGTATTTTATATCATGACAACATACAGTAAGTGAAGCTTAACTGAATTTATCTTTCCTTGTCTAAATATGTACATACCTTGAGGTCTCTCCTCTCTAGACTCAGCAGCTCTGGGCCTTGAATGTCATGTTTTATAAAACTTTCTCCATACTCCCCCATCTGTAGTGACTCCAACCATAGGGCAACTTCTTCAGCACTCCATGACCATACTACTGGAGGAAGCTCACTTTCTGACGACTCTACCGATATACCACAGCCTTTACCTGAAGAGTCAGTCTGCATTCCACAGCCTTTTCCACCACATTTACTGCTAGCCCCATGGTGCTCTTGCTTACTAGATTTTGCAGACTTTTTTAAACTTCAGTTTAAAGTGAAGCCCTCTATGGTGTCCATGATGCTGTTTTTGACCCGGCTAATGACAAAAGGTATAAATTTGGCTTTTGTGTCTTTTTATGTTCAGAACATAAAAGGACATATTATATTTCTTTTTAAAAAAAGGATGTATGTGTATACATGTAAATATTTTGGTATGTGTTTCAAGTTCAGCCACCACCACGACCTGAGGAAAGCACTAAAAGAGTCATGCAGGTTAACACTACACATCAATGAAGGACAGCTGTCTACATCAATTTCTTCAGTGGGTTGTCTAGGAACCCTAAAAAGTAAGTATGCAAATAGAAAATGCACACAAGCATGCTTAACTGAAACAGAACAAGTATACAGGCAGTTCTACCAACTTTAAACATAATGTGCAAGTGAATAAATAAAATGGTGATGAAAGTTTTAGCTGCACATTGCCACTAAAATTGCATTAGTAAAATTAATTTGTGTTTGAACTAAAACAGGCTAATTTCAGTGTTACCAACAGATGACAATAAGGGTATGTGAAGTGTAAGCATACAAACATAATACACTTTTCTTTATAGTAGTGAAGATGGTTGCATTTCCCTCAAATGTTTCTAAGGCCACATAAATTGTAAATACATGTATATACAATCACTAAAGAAAATTTGATTTTATATTAAATTCATTATTTAATGTTATTTAATGAAATACACACAACTGCCTGTGTCACCCATGTTAGCATTAACCTCTTAAACTGTCAACTAGACATACACCAAAAGATTTAGTTCATATTTCTAAAAAAATAAGCTTCACTATTAAAACTACAGCTATGGCCAAAAGTTTTGCATCACCTTGGAAATATCTAAGCTAAATGAAACCTGCTGAATAATGTGATATTTAAATGCTGCATGAAGGAATCTATAAGTTAACTTGGCTCTTCAATACCTCAATGAGTCTATACCTATGAGGATTAAGGAAGTCTTGAAAAATCATGGAATACACTGCAAATACTAAGCACTACTATTATGACATCTGGTAGACTTTTGCAAAATAATTTTGTGTTTCTTTTTATTAAATGATCTTAAATAAAAGATCTAAATTATGTTCATATTTTTTTTTCATCTGGGGTGATGCAAAACCTTTGGCTAGTACCTGTAGTAACAATGCAAAACCTTTGGCTTGTACCTGTAGTAACAATATTAACCTGAACTGAGTATTTAATGTACCTTAACTTATTATCTACAAATGCAACAATAATAAGAAGATTGAATTAGTTTATAAAAACCTGTACAACAAATCATGACATAGAGTAATTCAAATATATTTAATGACTTTAAAAACAAAATTAAACACCTTATCAAAATCCTGATTTTAAACATTACACATGTACTTGTTCTAGATGGGGCAGACGTAAAGGAGCCAAAGAAATACACTACACAAATTAGTCTTATTATCAATATGTAAACAGTATACAAAAATAGATTCTCCTGATGCTACTGTGAATAAGAGTTACACAAAATATGCATATGGATTTAAAAAATATTGTATGCAAAAAAACTAAGAAGCAACAAATATTAAAAGGTATTTAAGTTTTGTTATTACTAAAATTTATGTTCTTATACATATCTTTGCAAAAAACCAATTAAAAACTGTTAATGTTAAAAAACACAATACAAAGAAATGTTAATGAAAACTTAACTACAACAACACATTAAAACCCACCACAAGTTCTTCCTTGTTACCAAAAAAGTGAACTACACCTTGGATTTCTGTGCATTTTTTAAGTTCTGACCTCATAGCAGCTAGTGTGGAACTTAATCTTTCCTCAAGATCTGTTCTAACATTCTGCAATGAAATCAAAGAGAACTTTAGCAAAGTCCCAAGAACACAGATTCTTGTTTTGAAGTCTTAACAAAATAATCATGGCATCAACAGTACCAAAATGTGTAGAAATGTAAGTGAAGTAATATCCAACATTTTTGTATGTACATTAAAACCTTAAAATATTACAGATTCTTGATAAGAATCAAAGATTTACCTGTACTACTAAGATTTCTTACTTAAAATCACATAACTGAGTAGTTTTAAAAAAGAATTATTTTTACTTGAAGTACATTAAAACGTTCATTGAGCTTGAAAGTTTTAGACTTTCAAATGAAATATTTTAACAACTATGAAAAACAAATGTAAAAAGTACTCTTCTCAAATTAATTAATGCACAAAGTTTATAAACAGCTATACAATGCTACTAGTGTACTTATATCTTGCTTATTCAAATGTAATAAACATAAATATAGCCAAAATTGTGCCTAATTTGGAATAACCTGCCACAAAAAAGTTTGTACTAGTTCATAAAAAATGTTCTAATATAAAAAAAATAATTCTTCTTCTTTGTTGTGAAAATGAAATAATAAAGATAATCATAAACATTTATATGTTATTATTAAGGATATAATAAATACTTCAGTATTACACTTAACACAAATATAAATATTAAACAAAAAACTCACAGCTTCATCTGACTTTTCTTGGAGAAATTTGGAAGTCTCCTGATACAACTTACGAACACTTTGTACCAAGTCACTGACTTGTTGTCTGAGATTGGGCTAGAACATAGAAATAGAAGTAAACTTCAATAATTTCAAATCTTACTATAATGGACGTAGCATGTATACAAGCATCTATGTGATTGAAATAACAGATACTGTGTAGCGCCATCTATTTAATGGCACCACAAACAAAAACCCACTTTGGGTATTCAAGATTCAGACAATTAGCAAAATAACTATGGTATGTACAACAATCATTTCTTTATCACAGAAGACAATTTTAAATAAAATTACTCTCCTCACAACAAGAACATGACTTTCACTAGGACTGTACAGGGTTTGATTACACATCCCTGCGATGGTTTTATTGTCTTGAAATTTGTATATGTTCTACGGTAATTTCTGTACACTGAATCCCAAAATGATATCCATTTTTCTCCATCACATACAGATTTTTTACAAAACGTCATATGTACTTTTACATAAGTGAATCATTTTCACTAAAATCGGATCATATTTTGTTATGCTTAAGATGTTGACAACCACTGGCTATAGATTT